TTAGTTTTCTGATAGAAAATTGTGTGATTTTCCTCCAAATTCAACGCTGGAAAAGGATTTAAAAACGTTTTAGAAAGCTACGAAAGATTCGAAATAGATTTCATAATTTTTTCGAGCAGAAAGTAAAACAAAAAAATCTGTGAAAACTGAAAAACCACATTTTTTTAACAATCTATACAGGCTTCAGAGGAATGGAGGTGACGAGATTTACAAATAATCTGGTATAAACATTTGCTTATTCTGTTAGTTTTCTTTCTAGTGACTTGGGTAAAACTGAAAAATTTCGAAATTTTGTAACAAGTGAAACAAGTAAAAAAGTCATCAACATTTTCCCAGTAACGAAACTGCACCGGTGCGTGGGGTTGTGCGCCAACTCCTAAAAATTCACTGAGTTACCCGGGTCTAATTTAATGCTTCATTGTCCTAAGATAGACCAGAGGATAGTAACATGGTGCAAAGAAAACTATTCGTTAAAAAAATCCCTTAATTAATTTCTACCTGTAGACAAACTTCGAGTTTTCCATTAGCGAAAAATGCCCTCAAGAAATTACATTTAGGAATGTTTTCCGGGCTTTGAAGCCGTGGTCTATCGGAATTTCTTTCTGACGTTTCGTCCACAACTGCGGTGGACATTTTCAAAGGCGATGAGGCAGTGGGCGAAGTGATCTCCCGTGCTTTCCGACTAAGACGCTATTAGTCTTAGGAAGAAATTCCGATAGACCACGGCTTCAAAGCCCGGAAAACATTCCTAAATGTAATTTAACCGGCCGTGAAAGCCTTCATAGTCTGCCCTCAAGAAAGTTTGATCTCATGTAATTCATAATTCACTGAATCTTCAAATAAACTTACGACAATCCTGCTGCATCCTCCAATCAGACAAATCAATGCTAGAATCCGTTGATAGGCAATCAATGGCAAATGTCTGCATAGCCTGGCACCTACATTGCTCTGAAGCGGTGTGATTGCCTTCGCTTCTTTCCATGCAAGCACACGTCGTGTCCAGACATCTGGATACGAACGCTTCGATGTCCATTACTTTCCCACACTGGCCCAGCGGCTGCTCCCTACACAAATTTCGGAAGCTCCCTACACACTTCCCTTTGACTCTTCCCCAACTTACTTGACTTTATTGCAGATTTCCCAGGCCTTGTTCTGGATATGGATCGGACAGGCTCGGGCTTCGCACCACACTGGCTGTTCCTTATCCAAGGCCCAGCTGTGCAAAGAAGATTCGGGATGATTTGCTGAGAGCGAGTGGTGGCTGAAAAAGCAAACCTGCTGCCAAAATCGGCGGTTGTTCTCGCTTGCGAACCATCCGGTTTCCTCTTGTCGTCCTCTGGATTGTTGTTGAAGTATCCACACAGTCCGTCCACTTTGTTGGCCAGTTTATGTACGACGCCGAACTTTACGTTGCCGTCCGATGTCCAAACAATCCAAAATCCATATCTGAAGACAACGACAGGAAAGGTGAATGAAGCGACTGAAAATGTAAGAAAAAGCGTTCAAACTCAAATCACCTGTTAGAGGTAAAAAGCAGAATGCTGCCCAGATGGGTGATGGAAAAGCCTTTGTTCTGAGCTCCGATGTTCTTGATCTGCTCAATGGTGTACTCGTAGCCATCGTACTTGATGCTGAAGTCCGCTCTCAGAATAATTTCGTGCTGGTCGTGCCGAATGGCCAAGTCTCTGGAACAGGTCCGGCTGCAGTTCTTCTTTAGAGCAACGTCCCACTCGTCCTGATCCAGATCCCGGCCGATAACGTGGTTGCAAATGTCGTACTTGAACTCCGTGTTGTCGAAGGTGTTGAAGGTGCGCCCCGTTACGTAACAAACAGCATCCGGGGGTGGTTTCGGGTAGCAGGAATACCTGCACATAGTTCAATAACAAGTGAATTCCACTATTGGCCTGCTACTCACTTAGGACATGATTTCGACTTGGGATCGGTATTATCACGATAAACTGCGATGAAATTAGGCTGGCAAATTGCGGGCGGACATTGATCTTTCACCTTCTTCAAGTTCGAGGGTGGTTTGTCGATTTCGCAGCTGATTTGAGGGCATATCAGCTCTTCGACCACCTCCTGCCGAGCCTCCGGCCTTGCAAAGGCCGGGTGTTTGGTCTTAAAGGCGGATTTTATGCCTGCATAGGCAGCCTTCTTCTTGGTTGAGCCTGAAAGTCGAGGTTCAACCCAACGTCGCAAAGGGAGGATGGAAATCTTACCAGGCGCATTAAGCAGGGGCGATAAAAACACATTCTTCCCCGTCTGCTTCTTGGCTGGTTCTTCTATCACCTTCTTGTACCCCGGCTGGCATTGAACGATCGGGCAAACACTCGGCTTCTCAGTCGTTGTAGTGGGAATGGACGTTGTAACACCTGAAGAAGAGCTCGGATTAACTCCAAAGCTTGAAGTGGTGATGTTTGGACTTACAGTTCACTTCATCATCAGGACAGTCCTGCACGCCATTGCACCAAAGGGTGGAATTGATGCAAATGTTACTAGTGGGGCACAGAATGGTGTTTTCTGGACACGGCTGGCATGTGCATCTGCAAGTGCTTGTTACTGTGCTGCGCAAACCTGCCCAAACGCAAACGGTTTTTTCGAAAAAAAAACAGCATTTTTCAATATTTTACCTTCTTTGCAAGGAGCGCAATGCTTGGGAGTGCAATGCGACACTCCTCCCAGCTTGCAGATGCATTCGGAGCAATCTTCCTTTTCAAAGACCGAACCCACCTCGTAAGTGATGTGACCCACCATGCAAGGACACTGAGTTCGGTTTACGCATTTTAGCCCATCGAACCATTGATCTACTAAACATCTACCAAGCAACACAACTCATTATCAAATTGGATTTAGCTTTATGTTGTTTTTAACTCCAAAAACCCCCAAGCTTTCAATTTATTTAGAGCTTCACCCTTTGAGAGGAGCGCTTATCTTCAGCATTTGAAGCATACATTTCTGTTTCAGTCTTACAGTTAGAGTCCATTAGAGGATTACGGGAGGAAAACGGTAAATTCAGGTTGAAGATGGATTTTTCTGAAACTTATCACGTCTCTCGGACCAAGTGTCCACTAAAGATGGTAGCAGAGTCAACTTCCTGCGTGTTTGAGCTTGGGAGATGCAAATTTTTAAGTAAGCGAGCGCAATTGACTCCCATTTACAAAGTCGATAAAAATCAGGGTGAAGATGAATTTTTCTGAAACTTTTCACGTCTCTCGGACCAAATGTCCACTAAAAATGGTAACAGAGTCAACTTCTTGCGTGTTTGAGCTTGGGAGATGCAAATTTTTAAGTAAGCGAGCGCAATTGACTCCCATTTACAAAGTCGATAAAAATCAGGTTGAAGATGGATTTTTCTGAAACTTTCCACGTCTATCGGATCAAGTATTCACTAAAGATGGTAACAGAGTCAACTTTCTGCTTGCTTGAGTTTGGTAGATGCGAATTTTTAAGTAAGCGAGCGCAATTGACTGACACCCTCAGTTTTATGAGTCGCATTTACAAAGTCAGCAAAAATCAGGTTGAAGATGGATTTTCTGAAACTTTTCATGTCTATAGCGTCAAGTATCTACCAAAGATGGTAAAAGATGCAACTGCCTGGCTGCTTTAGTCTGGGAGATGTGAATTTTTAAGTAAGACGTGCGAACAATTTTCAATAAAATATTTCGATTTTTATCTCCAAAAATGCATCATTAGCGCTCAAATGCATTTAAACTTTGCTTAAAGTATAGCAATATAATAAAATATGTATAATATGTATAAAATATGTATAATAAATATAATTCTAACCGAGTTTAGTTTTTTCAACCGTAATTTTTAGAGAACATCAACGCAGTTTTTTTTAAGAAACAGCGAATTTCGTGTCTGAAAATGTTTGTATGTCAGTTAAATCAATCTCAAATTTGCCTAAATTGGAAAATATTTTTTTTGCTCGATGATCAAACCGTAATGAATCTTACGTTTCTTAACCGAATTGCCTAAAAAGCCGGTTTTACAGAATATTGTGCTCTTTAAAACTCAGCATCAATGATTCAAATGGGACGAGGAGCAAGTCAGTTATTAAGAGAAAAACGTTCACAGCAAAAAACTTTTTTTTTTCAAATATTTGGGAACCTCAAATGCCCTGGAATTTGTGGAACAATGTCAACATTGATATTATGTTGCTTTTGCTGAATCAAATTTTCACCCGAGTATTAAGAGAAATACACGCAAAATCCCTACTAAAGCAAAATACCATTAAACTCAAATCAAATTTTCATCAAAAATCCTTCAAAAACCTTTCCGAACGTATTTTGAGAAAAACAAAACAAAGAAGTTGGAAAAATGTTATTTCAAAAACTGGTCAAAATTGAAAAACCCTGTTAATGATAAAATTGCGAGAAAAACTGTATTTTGCTCAGAAACGGATAGAGTAGGGTAGACAAACTTCATAAATAAAATCGTTATTGGAATAAAGGAAAGGAACACAAGCAAAAATATTATATAATTGTTTTTAATTAATATTTCATTTAAAATAAGGAAGTCTGAAACAACGTCCGGTATATCTGGAGGTCGCGTAATGTCGCTGTTATTTCACTTGAAAAGAGCATCTCCGAAAATGCCATTATTCAAATTTCCACGATTCAAATCGCATTACTTCCCAAAATATTCTAATGGACGCTGACCGCGAGTCACCCTGTATGTAAGATTGTGCTTACCTGCAGGCTTCCATCTCCAAACTCTTGACTTCCACGCCTGGACAATTGTTGCAAGGCAGGCTGGATTCTGTGGTAGTGGATGGCAGGGCCAGAACAGGATAGGGCTTGAAACACCCATGAATCTCCAGCCTTAGCTGGATCGTTTTGTGCCACTTTATGGGCAGAACCCGCAAGTATCTGGAAGCATTCAGGAAAATTGTTCTAGAGGTTTGCTGTGGTTCCTTTGTGCTTGCCTGGCGTTGATGGGCATGGCAAGGTTGTTCACTTGGGGTGAATTGTGGTCGAAATTTCCCAAGAAGGTTTTCTCGTTTTGCGAGTGTTCATCCACCACCGGGTTCCAGTCTTTGCCGTTGTGGGAATACTTTACTGCGTATGTTGTCACCCAACCTTTCTTGCCACCTGGACGGAAAATTCCAGTTGAGAACTTCAGCTGGTTTTACAGTCAGAACGTACCTTTGCTCACTATCCCTGTGATATCTCTCGGTTCCAGAAAATCCAACTGGACCCACTCAGTGGTGGAGTCGCTGAGCGGTTGCCAGGAAGACTCACTGTTCAATCTGCAACCAGAACCGGCAAAGCCTGAAATCTCCTAAAGTTTCTCGCGTGGAAACACCCACCTAATGTGGGTTTTCCCCACAGCTTGAGACGCTTCAGAACTAACAGAAATCTGCTGATCCACCATCGAGCCATTCCTCAAGCCCATCTCGTCGTCACAGTGGGCAACTTTAGGAAGTTGCGTCGTCAAATACTCAAACGATGGAGTGGTGGTGGGTGATTCCTCCGAGCACCCGATTATCTCCACCCGCAAAGCGATGGCATTGTTCCAAGTTTGCGGCTTGATTCTCACTCTCTTTGCTTCAAACGGGGTGCTGAATATTTGTCGGACCGGCGTGAAAGGGTCGATGGAACCTTCGACATAAGCCCACCATAGGAAGCCCCTTAATAACCTAACAGGGCCAGTTACCTCTAAATATTTGGGGACGTGGGGGAGATTCACTGTTCAGCACGTAATAGAAGTTGGTTCCGTCGTCCGGGCTGTAGAGAACCATGTAGCTGGTAACGTATTCGTCGTAAACAGGACTGCCTTGGATGATCACTCCGTAAACAGGCTCTTGAATCCCCAGGTCCACTTCCAGATATTGGTCCTAAAATATTTGGGAATCTGCTGTTTAAAACGGGGGAAAACATTTTTGCCTTGTTTTGTGTGGTCTTCCAATGCTGGATAGCTGCAATTTTGGGTAGGTAGGAGAGTAGGTAAAAGCCGCAAGAAAAGTATATCCAAGATATACATACAGGGTTATTCACGCTATACGGCACGGACGTTTGCGGCTAGCCCGTTTGTTTTTTGCAAAATATTATTTGATGAATCCACAGACGCTTGTCGGGTGCACATTTAAAAAATATTTTTGTAATGTACAGTGTCCCAAAAGCCCTAAAAGTATCAAAGTTGTGTTTTTCTAAATGAAATACCCTATATATGCATTTTTGGATTCTCTGAGCAAAATAAGTGTTTGTTTTAATAAGACTTATAATGTCTAAATCTAAAGGTTTTTTAAATAATTCGAATTTTATCAAAATCTAATATTATTTTCATGCGTCAAATACTTGCGAATTATCTAAGTTATGTAAACGTAATTCGTAGTGTAGTGTAACAAGAAATCATATTTTATATCCCAATAATAATAAACTTACCGTTTTATACAGGGTGTCCACAAATTTAAACTAATCAAATAAGAACTTTAAGTGACTGTAACTTTATTAATTTAAATACAACCCCATATTTTTTAGCTTACCAGGAAATGCAATTTTTAATTACCTATCGAATGGTACTAGGATGTTGATAACTAAGTTT